AATGAGCTGGAAAAAATAATCTTGAAACTTATTCATTTACCAAAGCACTTGACTCAAAAATGCTATTTATAACATATAGACATACACATACATAAACATACACATATACATATAAACACATATATATATATATCACATGCATGTATATACACATACACATGGGTAAATAAAGTATAATTCCTCTTGCCCGAAGGAACTTAAAATACACTAGGGACAAGACCATGGATGCAGCTCTTGGGGGCATAGCACAATCAGGCCCTGGGAAAGAAGCACAAAGTATCCAGGAATTCAAGGAAGGAGGTGAAAACCATGTGACTAGACGGCTCCATGGAAAGGCTCTTACTGGTCCACGATGCTGCGATTCCCACTTTAAGACCCTCCTCCAGAGGAGCTGAGGCTCCCTTGCGGGAGAACCACTTGCTCTCTTGCCTGGCCACGACGGTTGCCCCTAAGCACTCTGCTCTTCCAAAGTCCCTCCAGTGGCCCCCAGGGTTGCTCCAAATGCGCCCTTTAGGCACGGGATCTCCATGGCGAGGTTGTGAAGTCTGTAGTGAGCAAAGCCTGGCATTCCCTTCCAGCTGTCTCGTTTGATGGTTGTGGGCAGTCTCTGAACCTATGTCTCCCACCTGAACCATCTCATCCATGTCACCTGTGCTGTGGGTCTGGCTTTAGCAAGGTCCTGCACACACACGTATGTTGTGCAGAATCCGAGTCTTGGAAAAGATTCGTAGCTGTTACCCTATCAGTCATCCAGTAAATGCCCACGCTGTCTTAGTCTCCTTACTGTTGTTCAAGGGCCCTTCTGTGTCTAACCCATACCTATCAAATTCCTGCTCACCCTCCATGACTCCTTTCTGGCAAAACCTACTGAGCCTTCCCGACACCTTGTCAAAGAACAGGGTCTTCTCCCCTGAGCTCTGGCTGCAGCTCACATACAGCTAGCAGAAATGGGTAAGGCAGTATGGGGTAAGACAACAGAGGGTAGTAGGGGCAATGGTTTAAAATCACAAAGAAAAACTCCTCTATTGACTAAAAAGTCAACCCCTCTTCACTACTGATACTACCTCTGACTGCTACCCAGTTCTCAATATTGCCAATTCTTCCATTTTTCACCTAAAAATTCCCTGTTGGCCATTGTTGGAAAGCAAATTAAACAAACAGAAAAACCTGAGCTCTATCACTTTGAAACAAATACAAAACTCCGGGACTGAATGACTAAATGTGTAGGCCTTGGCTCTTGAAATACTTGATGCCAGGCTTCCTCAAAGATGCATGGCCCCATCCTCCTGGGATTCCTGTGCCTTATAGTTGTTTGTATCTCTATTTCCCCAATAAACTCTGCTCCTTGAGGACCAGGGCCACGCAGGGCGTCTTTTCCTTCCCCTGAGTGCCCAATGCAGTGTGGGTCTCGAGAATCAGCCAGTAAATCAGGAATGGTGGTGCACACTGATAGGCAGAGCCAGGCAGATCTCTGAGAGTTTGAGGCCAGCCTGGAGTGTACAACAAGTTCCAGGGTACATGGTGAAATGCTGTCTTTTAAAAGCAAGCGTAAGCAAATAAAAGCAGCTCGCTCAGTCCCATATCCATGTTCTCCCAAAGTCTGCACGTGACTCCAGACACAACAAAGAACAATAATGTCTGTGTTCCGAATGGTCCTATTTCTCAGAACGTTTTATAAAATCTAAAAAGTTTATTGATATCATCAAAACCAGCCAATATCTGACTTCCTTAGAACCATCTGGAATTTTTTGCACAATGGCTGCAAAGCCCCCTCTGTGGTTAGCCACCTGGGAGTCACCTCCAGATGGAAATCTAATCCATAGGCCCTGTTTATCTCTAAATCTAATCTACACCTGACATAGAAGTGAATGGCTGAATAGTTTTACATTTCACCTGAAAGAGACCCAAGGGTCAGATGTGACAGTATTTTCATTTTGTTGGAAGTTGAATATAGATCACACCACAGACATGGAAGGAAATGCACTGTCTCTAAAGCCACAAGAAAGGTAAATATAAGGATGGCAAAGACTAGGGCAGTAGGCATTTCAAGGAGGTCACAGGCAGCAGTGTGACGGTGGCTGTCTTAGTTAGGGTTTCATTATTATAAAGAAACACCATGACTGTGGCAACTCATAAAGGAAAACATTTAATTGGGGCTGGCTTACAGCTGTAGAGGTTTAGTCCATTATCATCATGGCAGGAAGCATGGAGGAGGAGCGAGTGTTATACACTCAGATTGACAGACAGCAGGAAGTGAATGTCACACTAGACCTGGTTTGAGCATTTAAGACCTCAAAGCCCACCCCCTAATGACACACTTCCTCCAACAAAGCCACACCTACTCCAACAAGGCTACACTTCCTAAAAGTGTCACTCCTTATGGGCCAAGCATTCAAATCCATGACTCTATGGGGGCCATTCCTATTCAAACCACCACTGGGGCCCATGGTTATGCACTTTTCATGCTCATGATCTCTGGTCCAGTATTTCAACTTGGGGGCACTTAGTCCAAGGAGCAATAATGCATTAATGTTCAGCTCTGAAGGTATTCTTACAGTTGTGTTTATCATGTTGGAAATAGGAGGACTGTTGCTAGACACCTGGTTCATGGTTAGTAATAATGGGCCAGGAACCAGATCACCCACACGTGGGCAATGGAAGCAGGAGAATCTGGAATTTGCAGTCATCCTCTGCTATATTTCGAGTTTAAGTCTAGGAACTTTAAGACTCCCTGTATAATTTAGCCTTGTGATTTGCCATTGCTCCTTTAACTTTTCCTCGGAGTCTCACTGTCTCCTCCATTCTCTCCTGCAAACCACCTTCTCCAGCAAAGCTTTGAGTTTCCAGGTACAGTGACTAATCCTACCTCTGTGAGATATTACCGGTCCAGTCTCCGATACTAGCTGATTTAATCTCAAGGAAAGAACAGACACACACCCAGCCAGGCCCAGATAGCCAGCCCTATTCCAATCAGCTGGGGCCTGGCACTGACGTTCCATAGAACTGGTTCTACAAGCCAGCAAGTGGCAGAGAAGAAAGTATTTCCCCTCGAAGTGGTGCCGGGTTTTGTCTATAAAAATCATCATCATATGGAGAGGGGAATGTTGAAAGGGCCCCACATCAAAGGGTAGTAACAGTGAATATAAATACAATATTTGCTTTTCTGTGTGTCCTAAATTTTCCACAGTAGATATATGTGGCTTTGTACTAAGAGAAAAGAAAAGCATCCTCCAAGAGGATGAAAGGTGAATTCCCCCCTGGCTGGTATTTAGAGACTAAAGGTCCAGATAAAAAGTGCTTTTAGTGATGACGGAATGGAGGATATGCTTACCAAAGATAGAACAGCGAACCTCACCTGAAAGTCCAGAGATTGGAGTAAGCCCTCCGCAGGAAGATGTCAAAGCTGAACCTGGAGGAGATGCTGGGCACTGTGCATGCCGGACGGGGCCTGATGTCTTGTGATTGGCAGACCACTAGCTGCTAGGTTAAGACAGACCAGAGCAGAGAGGAAAAGCATGAGACATGTGGAAAACAAGACAGGATACTAGAGGACAAGAGACAGGGGCCATTAAGGGGGAAAAAGCAAAATAAAAATAGGTACTGCAAGCAATGAGCTTCAGGAATGAGCCTCGAAAGGGCAGGGGGATGCTTACTGGTCTTCAGGAAGTATGGAGAGTGACAGAAGGTTAGTCCTTCTTACACATAAGGGACAGAGTCTCCACTTCAGGACACTCAGGGATGGGGAAGAGTTTTATAGCCAGAGCACAATAATGTAGTTAAAACCAAGAACAGCTGGTGGAACCCGGGTGAGGCAGGGCAGGAGAAGGCCAGTAACAATGGGGAATGTTACTGCAAGCAAGCAGCAGGCCTGAGCAAGAACAGCACTCTAGACCTTAAAGACGCTAGCCACTCTGTCCCTGTGTCCTTCAACTGGCCTTCAGGTCTCCCCAGTGGTAGTAAAGTAGTCACAGGCTTCCCTTTTGGATCTCAGCCTGTGATCTCCATGGATGCAAAGTTCGTGGGGTCGTTTGTTGCTTTTATATTTTGAGTCAGAGTCTTCCTGTAAATGGCCCAGGCTGGCCTCAGACTCAAAGATTCACCTGCCTCAGACACACACACACACACACACACACACACACACACACACACACACCATGCTGGGATTGTAGGAGTGCATCAAAACACACAGCCCTTTCCAGGAATCATCTTGTACCTTGTATACACTCCTCTGTTGCCTCACAGCCCTGGCCAGGAGAAATTTTTTTCCTTGCCACTGAACACACACTTGATTACTTTTTTTTTTCTTTGCGGTACTAGGGCCTCCTGTATGTTGGGCAAGTGTTGTACTATTGAGCTACGTTTCCAGTCTTTTATTGGACTTTTATAGCTCCAACTAGCTACGTACTCTTAGAGGTTTAGAGTTGGAAGCATTTAACATCATGGTTAGATATCTTAAAGGTATTGAGATGTTTACAAGTGCCATAACACGCTGAAACTTCAGAGAAACATCTCTGTGTCCGCCTCTTGACCCTGAGCTGACCTTGTGACTGGCGAACCAACAGAACATGTGACTCAGCTGCACCAAAGGCATGATTAAGTTTCTACCTTGTCTTGTGACATTCATGTTTGGAGCACTGAGCAGCTGTAAGAAGCGTGACAACGAGGCGGCAGAGGATGCTCCCGCTCAGGCTGCAGAGGATGCTCCTGCTCAGGCATCCCACCGGACAGCCCCATCTGAGGGTGCAACAATGGCTGCCCAGCATCGGGCCCCAGAAGTGTGGCAGTGAGCCTTAGGAGAGCCAATCTCAGCTACCTGCCAGCCACAATCTCCTGAAAGCCTCTGAGAATACCCAGCTCATCCCAGTTGACACTCAGAACCATGACCGCTCGTGATACAGTGATGGCCGTGTTTTTATATTAGCAAGTTTTAGGGTGATGTGCCGTGCAGAAAGGTAATGGGACCAGACATATTTGGTTCTCAATGAAGATTTATTAAATTTATTTCAATAGCAAACAAAGGAAGGCAATGTTATCTGTATCTTTTTCTCCTTTTTGGTCTTCTATTGTATTTTGTTCTATCTATTTGGCTGTCTGTCTATCTATCTGGGTCTTTCTTCATACATATATAAAAGGCCTATGTTTTCTTGTGTATGTGTGTGCACAAAGAAACTCAATTTTTAAAAAATAGTAACTAACCACATTTCCTTGTTCTCTGCAGACTTTATTCCTTCATTCTGTAGTATCTTTGAGTCTTCTGTGTACTTTTTAGGTCATAAAACTAGGAACAAGATACTCTACCCCATGATGCTCTTGGCTCTGAGGTCACCTCATCTGGAAGGCACTGTTATTTTTGGCCACCTTCAATCCTTCTGGTCGCTGTTCCACCCATCTGCAGCAGGAGCTCCCACTCCCTTCCTTGGGCTGTCCAGGAGGTCTGCAGATAGCAGCTGCATCAGGAGCCTGGGGAAGACAGCAAGCAGGGTGGTCAGAAGAGCCATCAAGAAAACACAGCTTCCAGCCAGGCAGTGTAGGTGGCGAGGCACAGACCCTGTGGTCTGGAGACCTGCCTGGTTCCAAGTGGGAGTGACTCACACAATGGCGGCCAAGCAGCTGATAAAGAATGGAGACTGAAGGACACACAGAAACTGGACCATCAATTTTCCTCCGTCTTCTACGTGGAGGGGAGTCTGTTCCTTCTGCACCATCTCCAAAGGGTGTGCTGGAGCGTTACGCTCCCACAAGCCTGTGCGGCACCTGTCAATGGAGTCGCGCCCCTGTACAAGAATACAAGATTCCGGATGAACACAGACCTCAGTAGAGGAATGAAGAAGCCACCCTAGGAACTACAGACACGCTGCTAAAAGGACACTATGCAGGGTTGGCTGGCTACTCGAGCAACAGGCAAAACTGGGTCACCTCAGGTCAAGGAGAAAGCCCTACAACCCAAAATAGCTGCCCTCTCTGGCTGCCAGAGCATCTAAAATTATACCATTGAAGATTTATTTCTTTGCACGCCTCACCTTGGTTGGGGGCAGAATTGGGAAGGGACCCATGAAACGTCTTCACATGGAGGTGCAAAGGGCTTGACAGCCCCTCAGAGTTATTCAGGGTGGGGGAAAGGAGGGAAGTGTTGAAAGGCCAGGAACCAGGCAGAGGAAGTGCCAGCGAGGGACAGCAAAGGGCAACTTCTCCGATTTCAGATTTTCACCCAGAAGGAGCCTGGCCGGCAGCTACATCCTAAAACCAAGGCCCAAGCAATTTGCCAGTAAATTCGAACCATGCATGTAAACAATCCTAGTAATTTATTGAGATGCCTTTTAAATACATGATTATGCCAGGCTGAGCATGACTCTGCTTCAGATTGCCTCAGTAGTGGGGGGAGGGGGAACGTGTATATTAAGGATCGATTAAAAATAATCCAAGCGGCTACACAAGGAAATGGTATGTGCCACCGTACTGGAATGCAGTGGAGGGGAAGCCAAAGACAGGTAATCAGGTCAAAGTCTGGTTTCCAGGGAAGTGTTCACTCAGAACTTCAGGCGAGGATTCTGCCTTTATATGTAGAAGTTTGGATAACCTGACCCCAGAAGATTTAGCAGTAAACAATCACTATTTGAAATCTACCTCCAGTCCACTGTATCAACAAGTGAGAAACTCTTAAGAAGTCGACAAGGACCTCGGGACGATGAGTCCACCTTGCCTGAAGCTGGCTCTGAGAAAGGGCACTGTCAGGATGGTGGGCTTTCAGTAGAGGCAGGAATAAAAGAGGGAACTAAGAAAACTAGGAAGAGAGAAAAGGAAGAATGAAAGACCACATAGTCACTGCAGCTGTGGATGTGGTTTATGGTACATGCCTGAGGTAAATCCTGTGTAAGAACACCAGTTGCCACAATAACCAGATCTCAGAGTTGCAGGATATAGCTTAGTTGGGAAAAGTTAGAAAAGTATGCGCCCAGAATGCGCCAAATCCTGGGTTCAAGCCCCAGCACCACATACATGAACCTGGTGGCACACACCGATAATTCCAGTGCTTGAGAGGCAGATTCATGGGGACCAGAAGTTCAAGGTCATCCCTTGCTGTTTAGTGAATTTAGTCCAGCATGGACCACACAAGACTGTATCAAGAAACAAAATTTAAAATAAAATAAAAACCAAAGTTCTAAAATATTTGCACCATTTGGCAGTATATAAAGAACTTTCAGATAACAGCACCTAAATATTCGAATTCCCAAGAAAGAAGAAAACTTGCTTCCTTTTTTGATGAAGATGCTTTGGGTGGGAGCAATCAGGTGACCTGCCCAAGGTCATCTAGCTGCCTAGACAGAGCACAATCAGGTCTTGCAACTGGACTCTCACTGGCCAAATCTATTCCAACACTTGACTTGAAGAATTGCTCTTCCCAGGTCTAATGAGTCACTCACTAGGTGATCTTTGTAACTAAGATGACCTTTCTTAACCTTGATTCATTCTCATACTCAACAAATAATAAAGACAGAGCCACAGCTACCTCTGGGCACTAACTCATGTTCATGTGATGCCACACAAATGACTCATGGATGGCTGCGCCCAACTACCCCCTTTTTCAGAAAAACATTCCCTCCCCCAAGTACCATGCAATCTCACGATGTTCAAGTCCCTTCTCCTGCATGGTATGGAACCTGATATAATTTATGCATATGCTTGCATGCACATTAATCATTTGTAGATCACTTGTAATACTTAATACAATGCAAATGCTATGTAAATAATTGTAGTGCTACAGATTTTAGAGAAAAATACTGTAAGAAATTGGATCTGGTTGAAGGGATGTGGAGGGTGGATAGTTCTTTTACCCTGAAACTGCGTCTTATAAACTTACCATTTTACTGTCCACTCCCTTTTGAGAAAAAAATCAGGTCCCTCTGAACAATGGCCTAGTCTTATTCAAAGCTGTGTCTCCAAAATTGAAACAGTTCCTACACAAGTAGGTACTGGGTAAATATTTATCTAATAAATCACACTGAGTATCAAGGAAAGCTTTGGGGCCAATGCCTCCTATGTGTCCTGAGTAGCATAAAACCACTTAGTCAAATCACCTCACTTAAAACTATTATAAATGACAAAACAGAAAATGGTGAGGGAAGACGGGGTTTTCATAACTATTAAGAAGGTGCTGGGAGAAGTAAAGCTTTGTCTTTAACCTGTGCCACTTAAGGCAAGAGCTCCAGCCATGTTGGGCTGCTAAAAGGCAACAAATTTAAAACGAATAAAGGAAATATTTTTAAAGCAGCGTATAATGCACCTTTGGAATTCACTGCTGCAGGATATTATTGAGGGAAATAGTCTAGCAAGATTCAAGAAAGGATTAGACATTTATATGAACGGGAATAATATTGGCAGTTACACTAACTAGGTTAAAAAGTTACAAGGCATGTCCGTCCTGGGCTCCGGGGCATAACTGTGCAGCAGCTGAATGGGGAAGGAATTTCCCCTGTTGGGGGAGCATTGTGGAATTGACCAGATGCATGAATGCTCATATTTTTGCCATCTTCTATAATATAGGCAGAGAGCACTGCTGGGGGGGGGCATTTCTGGGGCAGACGACAACCGCCCAGTGACCTCTACACATGACACAGAAAGAGCACTCAAAGCCTCTAGGGATTTGCACCTGAGTTTTTTTTTTTTCCAATTTCAGAAACTGAGAATAGTAAAAATAATTTCCGTCTTCCAGATGATGAAACTATTTCATGAGATGGAGTCGTGGGATGGCCAATAATCTCATTAAAGGCCCAGAGAAGTGAGCCAAGAGGCTGGCAGCAGGCTTCCAAAGCCCTGTGCCTCAGAACCTTCTTGGAGCCTCACGCATGGGCATCTGCCCCCTTTTTGTGTCATCTAAAACTATTAATTATGTCTTACACACATGCTCTTACGCACAGGCATTGAACAAAGCTGCCTTTCTGTAGGTGTGCCAAGAAAAGCGAGTCTTAATACTGTCCACTCACCCTGATAAGCGTTTGTCTGCCAGTCAGTCCATCCTACTGCCAGGCACAGCCTCTGATTGTCGGTACGGTGTGCTAGGTGTTCTGTCACTCTCCTACTGAAAACCTGATGGCAGGTTTGAACTATGCATCAAAATCTGAGTGTCCATGTCAACACAGTATCCTATTCAACAAAATACTGATGGGCCAGAGAGATCGTCCATCAGGGGCAGGTGCTTGCCACAAAGCTTGAGAATCTGAGTTTGACCCCTTGAGTCTGAACCCACAGGAGAGAACTGACTCCTGAAAGTTGTCCTCGGACTACCACATGAACACAGTGGCACATACATTTGTGTGTGTGTGACACACAAATAAACAAATAGGGATTATAATTCAGAAGCATGCTATATTTAAAAATACTGAAACTGCATCATTTAGTATCTCTACAACCTTCAGCCATGGAAGAGTCAAATGCATTCTGAAGAAACTGTCTATGGTTGAGGCATTAGGAAAAGGGCCCCACTAAACTCACACTCCCCTCCCCCTGCTCTCTCTCTCTCTCTCTCTCTCTCTCTCTCTCTCTCTCTCACACACACACACACACACACACACACACACACACACCCCAAAAAAAACCAAAACAAAACAAAACACCTCGCTGCTGGCAAAATCAAAAGGGAATTTTAACTGAACCCCCCCCCCCCCACCAACCATCAATGAATCTTAAAGCAAATACATTCACCAAAGAGGTTGTTGATGTATGTGTTTCTCTGGGGGAAAGGGCCACAAATTCCATTAATATTTTCAGATATATTCTCACACAAAGTAAGTTTTAAAAACCACTGTGCTAGGACCCAGTCCAAAAGCAAAGTCTCCAGTGGGTCTCAACGCTCTCTTCACAGAGACCTTTGGACCTGCAATCTAAGAGTTGTTTCTTGGGGCTCCCTTTAACCGGCAGATTATCAATTAGATTCTCTTAACTGAAGATCATTCACACAGTGCCTACATCTCACCCAGAGGAAAGGCTTTAAATGCTGAAGCCTTGCTGCTCATAGCTACTGGACATTTTGTTAATTAGTTACAGATAAGCCCTTACAAGTTTGCCTGTTTTCCCTGGACAGAAGCTTTCCTGTGTGCTTTTTCACGTGATTAGTATATAATCTTATTATCATAAGATTAGAGGTAGTCTCAAAACCATTTTTTAAAGATTTAAGGGCTCAGGGTGTAGCTCAAGTTTGCAAACTGCTTGTCTAGCACGCAGGAACTCTTGGGTTCATTCCCTATGCTTGCACAAACGGGGCTCGGCAGTACACTCACGCAGTCCTAGCACTCAGTGGTGGAGGCGTGAGAATCCAAAGTTTAGGATAATCCTTGGCTACATACAGTTTGAGGCCAGCCTAAGACCAAAGAAACCCTGGGGAGAGACAGAGAGACAGAAAGAGAGAGACAGTGAGAGACAGACACAGAGAGGAGGCGGGGGATCTATTTGTTTGTTAGCACAGTTCTTGGGTCTTGCCAATGGTCCCTACAACAGCAATATGGGCACATCCATGTCACTACTCTTCATTAAGCAGTGAGAGTTAGTATTAATAAGGCAGGGGGAGAGAAAAATAGAAAATGACAAGGAAGAAAAAAGGGAAAAAAATCTACTTTTTTCTAAAGTGCGTGCTGGCCTTTGTGTGTTTCCTGTCTGTGGGGATGAGCATGTAAATCATACAGAGTCCCATTCTCAGGCCCGAAGCCAGGGCCCTTCCTGGGCCTTTCTCTCAACACTGCACTACCCCTCTCAGAAACAGCTCAGGGGTGGGGAGGTGGCTCAGGGGGTAAGAATGGTGGCTGAGCAAGTGTGAGGACTTCAGTTCCCACCCCAGGTCCACATGCAAAACCCCAGGTGAGGCCTTTCCAGCCTGGACTTCCAGCCCAGGGCTGGGAGCGGGAGGGTCAGGAAGATCACGGCAGCTTTAGATGGGAAGAAGAATCCTGACAACCACTTTCTCAGGCCTCTGCCTGAAGGGTACTCCCCCTTCTCCCTCTCCTTCCCTTCCTCCCCCCTCCCTATCCCCATCTGCTTCTTTCCCTCTCCCTTGCTCTCTCTCTCCCTCCTTCCCTCTCTCTCCATCTCCCCCACCCCCCACCCTTGTCCTACAGTTGCTGACTTTATCAATTCTGGCAGAATGAACAGAATGAAGTCAGAGAAGGGAAGAGCCTCCTGGCCTCCTGTGCAATCATCCCCGCGAAAGTCAGTTAAGCCCACTGTTAGTCAACAACGAGAAGGTCGAGGAAGCAGGACCAGTCCTAGGAGAAACGGAGCCTGGCGAGACCAACAATCAAACATTTCCCTGAGAGGTGGAAGAGGCATTGCGATTACGTGACCACAAGCCGCAGAGGGTGAAACCCGATGAGGCCTCTCACCTGAGCTCCGAAGGAATAATCTGGAGAAGCAGTTGCTTTGTGCAGCATTTCAAGAGCCTTCACTAATACCTGGCTTTGTGGGAAGATGACGGAGAAAGAGGAGAAAGCAAAAGCACTTTGGTCTTCAGTGCCGGATTTATTGTCTGGAAAAGGAGGAAAGCTAGACCATGCAGAAATGGAAACCTTCTGACTTGTGGGAATCAAGCAAACGGCTTCTTTCCTCCTTTGAACATCATTACCCTGCTAATGTGAGGCCTGGTCATTCACACAAAGTCTACACAGGCATTGTTCTAGAAGAAGCCCAGCCTTCCTGCTCATCGACACCAAAATTCTGATCGGAAGCTCTTCCAAGTTGATATGGGTGACACAGTTCTTTGGGTGGCTCCTTTAGGTCCATCACCATGAAGGACTTGCAGAAATGGCCCAAGTCCTAATTAGGTTTCTGCAGATGGTGTGGTGAAAAGTCCCAGAATCAGGCGCTGGCTAATGGTTCCACTGATCTCTCTACACCTACCAAAAAGTATGTCTAGAAGCATGCAACTTGGTCATGGTGGAAGAAATAAGGACTCCCATGATTTACTACCCGGGTAACCCTGTGCAAGCACACAGACTCTCTAGACCTTTGCACCAGATCCGTTAACTAGAGATAGTAACACCTACCTAACACAGTTGTATAGAGAGAAATACAAGGTCCTCTCCCAGGAGAAGCTGTATCTATCTATATGGGTATGCATTTACATGTATCTGTACTGAGTATTTCTTAAGATCAATTTCTCCTCTCCATCTTCGTAGCTCACAAGGTGATTTTTGAAAAAGTCAATCAAGAGAGGAAGGAAAGATACATATTTTCTTCTCCAACAAGTAAAAGCAATTAAACGTCAAATATTAACTGTTCCTGGGAGTAAATTTTTTTAATGGGTTAAAGGCTCAGCCATTATAGACCTCCAATATGTAATTTCTAAGAAAGGACCAGGTAATATATTTTTTTTAATTAAGTGGAAGATAAAATGCTAAAGCGATATATCCCTTCAGAAAGCACTTTTTTATCCATTTCCAGTGGTTTCCAATTGCATCATGCCTCTTAAGAGGACCAATTTGTTTAACATCACTTTATTTTTCAACCTTCACATGTGAGAAGCATTGATTTATGATTTCGCTGATTAAAGCAATGGTGTCTGAAGCAATAATGATTTCAATTATGGAACTTCCACCAGTGTGCATTATTCTGATTTTCCCTCCATTCTCACCACATTTTGATTCACTAAAGAAGGGGGCCTGAGTAGATGATGTAATTTTGAAAAGCCCCTGGACTAATTTAATATCAGAAAAGAATGTATGGACAGATGGACTGATGTTCCATTTTGGATTATGGGGATGTATTGTATTTTAATATGCTCTGACAAACTCTCCAACAGCTCCCCGGTGAGCCCCTACCTGATATCATTAGGGTTATTTAGTGCTTGGAGCCTGCTCAATCCCCACTGGAGCCACAGTGAACTCGTAGGAATGTGCACACTCCATTCACTCCACGTCTAGGGTCATGCTTTCTCTTTATGCTGGGCTGGAAGAAATGATTAAGCTTGTGTGTAGATTTTTAGCTTGTTAAAATCAATGGGGCATACTTGACACTGTCTTCTGATAGCAAGGGCCCCCGTTACTCAGTGTTTCACTACTCTAAAAAATTAATTAAATAAGTAAATTTTTTAGATATTGAGAAAATTAACTTTGAAGAAAGAATGTTTATTCTGGCTTACACTGACAGTAGCATCTGTCCATCATGATGTGATCTTGTTGCTTTGGGCTTTCGACGACAGAGAACATCCTGGTGGGAAGATGAGGCAGAGGAAAAACACATACAGCATCTAAAAGCAAAGAGAGATGCAGGGTCTGAGTATCCCCTTCCACGGCAAAACTCCAAATGACCTAGCTTCCTGACAGTAGACCCCACCCCTTAAGTGTCCCACAACTTTGCAATAACCGCATTAGCTGGAGGACAAGCCCTCTACAACGTGGGCTTTTGGAGGACACTTCAGATTCAAACAATAACACAGCATTGTCCCATAGACAAGACGGGTAAGTAGGACACTGATGCCAGGCCAGAGCCACAAACGAGGGCATGCCCCTGTGCATCAGTGCAGCGTGTGACCTAATGATGGGGGTACAATGAAGACATTATAAGCACAGCCTTGTCACTTCTTTGGCTGTCAAACTCTTGAGACAACGCATCCCAAGTAACTGAAAATTCTCCAGGAATCCTATGCTGGGAGAAGAAAAAGGCTAATAGCCTGGCATCAACCAGACAAGGAGCATGTCTTCCCTGAAAAGACTTCACATAGTTCAAACTACTTTGCAGACCACCTTAGAGGAGAAACTAGAGCCAAAATAATGATCATGGGCAGGACCACATCTTGACCAGGACCTGTCATGCACACCTCCTGCCTTCTATTTAAGCCTAAATGTCATGGCAAGACCTCAAAGATGGAGCTGGGGATATCGCCGCTTTGTTCTTCTCCACACATCTGTTCAGTGTGTGACATTGAACAAATCTCCTATAAGTGCATTTCACTATTAAATTGTCTCTTCAACTGGCCTATTGAGGATGAATAGTTAGACTTGGTTTCTTAGGGCTTCTAGGACCTGGGATCCGACCCTAACTCCAAGAATAAAGGCAGTCACATTTTTTAAGACAGAGTCTCACTGTATAGCCCAGACTAGCCTCAAACTATGTAACCTAGGCTGACCTCAATCTCCCAATCCTCTTGCCTCAGCCTTCCTAGTGCTTAGATTTCAGGCATGCACCAGTATTCCTGGCTCACCATTCATACCTATTAAAGGTGTCATCCAGTGAAGATGTGCTATCTGATAAGAGCTGCTACTCCTGTGTCCCAGGCAACTGTTGTCACAGGTGTCTGTGACCCACAGGGCCATACCTTCAGACAGTTCAAAGAGAACAAGAAATTCATAGTGTTATGTCAAGTTAAAGGTTTCCCATTTTTAGCATTAGCCTCACACTGGCCAAATGTAGCCTGCCTCTGGAGTGCTTCCTTATTTATGCATAAATGGCCATTCCATGCAGTTATCAGAAGGGTGTACATAGCAAGACATCATACTCTGTTATAACTCTATCAAAAATTGACAACTTTGAAGCCAGAGATAGAATTCAGTGAGTACGAGTACATGCTTCACAAGCATGAAGACCTATAGCCCCAGTGCTGTGGGGGACAGAGACAGAATGGATGGGATTTGATGACCATCAGCCTAGCCCCACGTTCAGTGAGAGAACCTGTCTCAAGGGATAGAACATGGACCTAGTGTCCTCCTTTGGCCTCTGCACCTGCACACACGTGTGCACATACACCACACACACACACACACACACACACACACACACACACACACACACATATTAAGAAAGTAGTCTTGGTCTGCTACATACCAAGAAACAGGTGTTAGACATTAAGGATGTAAAATAAAATACAAAACCCATTTTTTACCATCAAGAGCCTGGCATTCATATTTACAAGAATTATGAAGGATTTCAGGTTTAAAAACATTAAAAGAAGCCGGGCGGTGGTGGCGCACGCCTTTAATCCCAGCACTCGGGAGGCAGAGCCAGGCGGATCTCTGTGAGTTTGAGGCCAGTCTGGGCTACCAAGTGAGTTCCAGGAAAGGCGCAAAGCTACACAGAGAAACCCTGTCTCGAAAAACCAAAAAAAAAAAAAATTAAAAGAAAATGCCACCTAACATCAAAGCCCAATTTATCATATTTATTTTTAGGTGAGAACCTCCTTTGTTACCCTTCAAGTAAATTAGTTTGTTCCTATGCTCTGATTTGAAACTCCGTTTTAATTTGAGAACTGGTCCTGTGACTACCAACATCTGTGTAGGACACACTTCCATGAATGTCTCCAACACCAACTGGGAAGTAAAATTCTAGTCACACCATGATAAAGTTTTTCTTCATCAAATCAATGCTACAAATTTCTTATTTAAACACTGGTATTACTAAACTTTCCCATGTTTTAAACCTAGTTCTTAATCTCAGTGATTCTATTCTGCTATAGTTTTTATGAGAGCTGGCCAGCCAATGCTGTACCCATTCATCTTTCTGGAGAATCATCTTAATAATTTTTTTCAATTGAAGGAAGAGAAGCCCCAAGACACAAATAAAAGCATTCAAGGTCTAGTCACTGAGTTTGTAGCTTAGTGCTTGAAATATTGTGCCCAAAATTGCTTCTTGGAAGAAAATCGTATCACAGTTAAGATTCCTTCTCGTTAAACTTTATGATTGTTTCTCAGACTCTTCCTTGAAATACCTCAAAGTACTTCTCCTGAATTTCACATGGGCTCCCTTTTCTCCCTTACAACACTATTCTTTACTTCCTCTGAGGGCAATACCTAAATGCAAAGCTCTCAAACATCAGCACTGTGTGTAGAACTCAGAAAGAGCCATTGAAGGTGGTATGCTGTGCTGGGTAGATTAGAACACAAAATTTCATTCATCTTCTACCTTCTCTTGAGGGCAAGAGATCGATCTTATTTCCCTCTTCACATAACATTGCCAACCACACCTTGGCATGTATCTCCCTTATCCTTACTCTTCCTGCTACCCATCCCCATAGCAACCATGAGAACTTCTCCCCAGAGAAATTCATTCAGGCATCAGTTACATACTGTACCTGATCTGGATGCTGGAGAGTGTGGAGCATCTACATCTTTTGACATGATTTACCCTGCTGATCATTCTTATGAGATCGCTGGTTTTTTACTTGATTTACACTGTTGATCATTCTTATGAGATCGCTGGCTTCCTTAGAAGTAAGTCTCTTTGGCAAATCTTCTCCAGAGCCTTCATGTGAAAAAAGAAGAAAAAAAAAGATTGAGAAAGGAGTGACTTGCCCAGGTCTATGGCTCTTCCCTGTAATTTGTGGTCCCATGTTCCCCTCTTTTGCTCTTGCAGTCATTACCTACAATAGTTCTTATCTTGGTTAGATTTCTATTGCTGTGATAAAACAACATGACCAAAAGCAACTCGGGGAGGAAAAGGTTTATTTGGTTTACATGTCCCAGTGACAACCCATCACTGAGAGAAATCCAAACAGGAACTCAAGGCAGGAACCCAGAGGCAGGAACTGAAGCAAAGGCCATGGAGGAGTGCTGCTTACTAGCTTGCTGCTTTACCTGCATGTATTTATGTACACCATGTACGTCCCTGGTATCTATGGAGGATAGCAGAGGGCACTGGATGCCCTGGAACTAGAGTTACAAATGACTGAGCCACCATGTGAGTGATAGAAGTTGAACCTGGGTTCTCTGCAAGAGCAGCAAGTTCACTGAACTGATGAGCCACCTCTCCAGCCCTTCATCTTTCAGTTTTATACAGCCCAGGACCCTATGCCTAGAGGTGGCCCCGCCCGCAATGAACTGGGCCCTCCCACATCAATCATTAATCAAGAAAATGCCCTACAGACTTGACTACAGGCCAATATGATGGAAGCATTTTTTTTCCAAATGAAGTTCCTTCTTCCACGATGACACTAGCTTGTGACAGGTTAACAAATATCTAATCAGTACAATTTTTAAACAAGAATTTTACTTCAACCTTATCTTCAACAGAAAAGACCTCTGTAACCCAAAGTCTGGACTGCTCCAAAGCCCAACACTTTTTGAGCAGTGACATGAGGTCACACGTGGAAAATCCTGTGCTTAATTTTTTATTATGTGACAAGTCACAAACAAAATGCAGCTGCAGTAAACATTTGATCCAAAGTATACAGAAAACAAAGCTCCCTTTAGACTTGAGTCCCATCCCCCAAACAGCTCATTACGTGTCCACAAATGTTCCAAAATAAAAATAAAGCCTGGGATAGTTTTAGTACCCAGCATGTCACACAAAGCCTGCCCAACCACCACTTTGAAGACTTAATGAAGACTTGTTCTGTGTGAATCCCTAACCATCTCCAGGGACTGAACAGTGTGAACAAGTAGCATCTGATATAGATACCATCACCTGCCAAGGGTTCCTCCCCGTGGACCACTACACAGAGCAACCATAGCCAGAGACGGCAAATATGCTCATCTGAGCTCCTTGCCATCCAGAGAGTCAGTCTGGCTAGTTCTCACTTCAGGTAGACCTAGATCCCATGGTGTTAACTTCAGAGATGATTTTATCTAATTCAGGATGCAAGTAACAGGGGAAGGGGTGCTGATCAATTGCATCCAGGACAAATATTTCCTGAGTTATGCTTCAGGTGAGTTCATTTGTCACTGTGGTCTGCTTTGAAGCTCCATTTACACTTGAGGACTAGTCCTGTAAATATCAACACTCACACAGGGGCCATTCCCACGAAAACTTCTAACAGCAGTGGACAGTGGTGTCCTGGGCCCCAGAAATGAGACCCATATGCATATAGCTGAATGAGTCCAAGGAGCTGATGTGATGCACTGATGTCACCGCAGACATTAGCTCTGTCATGCTCCTAGAACATTTAAGTTGATCACAGATACACATTGAAAATACTAGCTACAGTCTATATGTATTTTCAATACCCTTGTAGACCAATGGTGCTCAATAACTTGAGCTGGAGCTATAAGTGGTAACCAAACCCATTAAAGAAGTTAGGGGTGTTTTTTTGGGGGGGGGGTTATTGTTATTGTTGTTTTTTTAATGTGGTCTTCCAGGAAGCTGCCTCTGGACATAACTACAGAAAATTAACACAATAAGTAAAGCATTATAGAACAGCTATTAACTGATTACACTAATAAAAACCAAATGGGGGCCTCGAGTCTACCCCTCTGGGAAAGGAGGACAGATAAAATAAACAAGGTAAACTGTAGAGTAAAGGATAATTGATTTTAAACAATAATAATGCAGTTACCTCCCACCACATTAAAAAAAATAGATTTCAACACGCGAGGAAAGATAGAAGAAAGTTGTTCGTATCCTTCCTCCCTAATATTTAAGTTTCACCCTAACAGGGATGCTTCCCGAGGCTAACAAATTGGAGAAATTAAGAAGTGCTGACAAGTTTCTTAAAGGACAGGCACCTGGGCACAGTGATTTAATATACCACTTTATCAGGAAAAAAAACACGGTCTCCACGTGCAAAGGACTTGCTCCAGCAGCGTAGGACAGCAAGTCAGGCTCAGGGAAAACTGACAGGCGGAAGAGGGGAAGCAAAACTAAGTTCCTCCTGTGGTGGGCCGAAGTTTAAGTCCAACCCCACTACGTCTCTTCCTGTTACCTAAATCCTAAAATCCTTCAGCGTAAGTGGGATCGGCTCTAGGAAGAGAAGGGTCTTTATGTTCCATTTTCTGACACAGCATCCACGTACCTACCTGCCTTCGAATCTAATAGTCCTAATAGTAACCATAGTGAGTGCGTGCTGGGTGACATGTGTCAAACTAAACGCTTAATGGGAGTTGTCGCTAATTCTTGCATTATCTCACAATTTGTAGGTGAAGACATGCAGGCGGAGGGTGACACGGTGACATGCTCAAGGCCCCACCATCATTAGTCCTCGCCGGCTCCAGAGGCGTCTGCCAGCCTGCCTCAACCCAGGTACCCCAAGCTTCATTAGCAACTGTTGGTGTAGGAGTCTTCTCTTTTCCTCCTGCGTCTCTTCTCGCTTATTGTTTCGTGGAACCAATTCTTTTTGCATGGCATATGCAGAACTCTGGGTTATTTTTACTTCCCACTGGCAAAAAGTCAGCAAATTCAAATGAAATGATAATTTCCATGTGAGAAAATAGTTTAGCATTTCCTTAAAATGTGAAAATATAAAATCTTATGCAAGACACTAACTTTTCAGTTGGCAGAAAATAGCCTGGTGGTTTCACATGAAATAAAACAAGGGCAGCTCAGATCTTCACGGCCTGAGAATTAAAGGCGAGGCTCTACTACCAGGGAACAATGGGTATTTAGGCACGAAAAGAAGAATCAGTGATATATGCAGGAGGTGTCTGCATACAGAGACAACACTCCGGTATAAAAAGGGTCACACTTATTCAATATTTGGAAAAAAATGGCCCGGGAGGCATCCAATGTGACAGCCAACGAACAGAAGGCTCAGGAAGGGAGATTTAAAGTTAAATAGGGTGGGGGGATCCAAACACAAGAGCTTACCAAAAGCATAATGTGTTGGGGTCTACACTCTTGCTAGCAAAATGTTAGAGACACTACCAATGAGGAATACTTGGAATAACATAGAGGTTCTTGCCTTGAAGTAAAACAGAAAAAAAATATATAGAAATTGCACTTTTTAGGGAGTATGGGGCACAGAAAACTCATTGTCTATGGGCGATAATATTATCTGTCTGTAGAACTCAAAAAGAACCAAAATGAAGAAACCAGTCAAGTTTCAAACACAACAGAAAACGTACAAACAATAACTTTCCCCAGAAAACAGTAATAAAATATCATAGAAAATTTACATGCAGAAAAGCAATGAGCGTGAGAACGTTGAAGAAGAAGAAAGTCCAAATGTAAAGAAGGACACATGAAAAGATAAATGAGAATGCATGAGATAACTCAGAATTAGAAACCTTAGATTCCAAACCATTAATGTACAAACGCATCCTCTCACAGTTCGAATTTAAAGATGTCTTTTTGTTGTTGTTGTTTTGTTTTGTTTTTCGAGATAGGGTTTCTCTGTGTAACAGCCCTGGCTGTCCTGGAACTCACTCTGTAGCCCAGGCTGGCCTCCAACTCAGAGATCCACCTGCCTCTGCCTCCCGAGTGCTGGGATTAAAAGGGTGTGCCACCACCACCTGGAGAGTTCAGTGAGGGCATGATTCTCAGGGAACTCCTCAGTGAGGGAGAGCTTACCAGATAGGGAAGGACACTTAAAATGACAAAAGGGGAAAGGATGGGGGAAAGGGAAGATGAAAAGATAACGAAATAAAATATGGAGACATAGGAAGAGGGCTATTAGCAGACAGCTCCTAGATCAGTATAGAGAAGTAGTTTTATCAAATGAATTCTTACCACAAGGACCAAAACAGACTGAGAGACTTAAATGGTCTCCAAGGTGTTTTTTTTTAAGTGCCATTATAAAAGCACTAGAAGAAAAAGCAGGTTCACAAGACCTCACCCTGAGACACACACAGGCCTAGTCAATCCCAGAAGCAGAGGAGAGAGAAGAGCAGGGAGCAGGTGACATCTGCATTCACAGATGTGCGTAGACGTATCAACAGCTAAAAGCTTAGACAGAACAGTGTCCCCAATATCAGATAGTGAGGGGTATGTTGTTGGTTGTTTTTTACTTTTTGGCTCTTTGTTCTTTTGGGGGCCCTGCCACCAACCTACAAAATAAATACCCACACGGAGGTGGAGGCTTATTATTACTTAGAAGTGCCAGGTCTTAGCTTGGCTTATTTCTAGCCAGCTCTTCTTAACTAAAAGTATCTCATCTATCTTTTGCCTCTGGGCTTTTACCTTTCTCTATTTCTGTATACTTTTTACTTCTTACTCCATGGCTGGCTGTGTAGCTGGGTGGCTGGGTGACTGGGTGGCTGACCCCTGGAGTCCTCCTTCTTCTCTCGCTCCTTGATCTCTCTCCCAGATTTCTCCTTCTATTTATTCTCTCTGCCTGCCAGCCCTGCCTATCCTTTCTCCTACCTCGCTATTGGCCATTCAGTTCTTTATTAGACCAATCAGGTGTTTTAGACAGGCACAGTAACACAGCTTCACAGAGTTAAACAAATGCAACATAAAAGAATGCAACACAAGTTTGCATCACTGAAACAAATATTCCACAGCATAAACAAATGTAACACATCTTAAAATAATATTCTACGACAGGGCTAATAAATTTAAGATTGAGTGATTGAAATGATTGATTTATTGATTTTTTGAGACCTGGAACTGACTGTCTGCCAGGCTGGCCTTGAACCCTGAGCAATCTTCCTAACTCAGCTTCCTGAGCCCTGGGATTACATATTAATGTTACATATTAATAATAAACCCAATATTGCATTTTTTTATTTTTTTTTAACATTTTTTTCCTTTAATTTATTTTAAATGTGTAATTTAAAATCACCATAGAACTGGCAGGCACAAGTTAAGTAAAAGCTTCAGAGCACATAATCACACTCTGTTCATAAAAACAAGGCAGGATCACTAAGAAAGGCAAAGGAAGCTGGGTGTGGCAGTACACGGCTGTAACTCTGGTAACATGAGACTGATGGAAGAGGGTTGCTGAAAGTTCAAGGCCAGCCTGGGCTATCTACTGATTCCAAGCCAACCTGGGCTACACTTTGAGACTGTCTTTAAAAAGATCTGCAATCCCATTAAGTGTGAAACAGTAAGAAGGCATATGAACATTCGAGGGCATCTCTGCAAATAGGAGGGAAGGAAGGAAGGAAGGAAGGAAGGAAGGAAGGAAGGAAGGAAGGAAGGAAGGAAGGAAGGAAGGAAGGCAAGCAGCCAGGCAAACAGGCTTCCACCCAAGAGTCTCACCTATAGCAATGTATCCAGAAAAATAGAGATACAAGGTTTTACAAAAGCAGCAATTACAAATGCCATGATAGGGCTGGGATGTAGCCCAGTGACAGGACGCTTTCCTAGCATCCATAAATCCCTGGATCTAGTCCCAGCATCACAACCAAATGGCATAACTACCTAGACCAAAGAATTCCAGGACCTACATGTAAAGATATAATGATGATATAAAACATGCTTAAAATAGTATTATCACTATGTGCAAATATTTATTACAGCTTACAAAAAGGAAAAGCATTTATAGATCAATGGACTATATAGAACAGCCTAAATGTCAATTTTTAAAAACATGCAAATTTACTTTTATAAAAAGGAAACTAGATGTGGTTGATACATACTGGTAATCCTAGTGTTTGGGAAGTGGAGGCAGGAGGATCAGGAAGTTCAAGGTCACTCCCAGTCATGGAGTGAGTTCAAGGCCAACCTGGCTTACATGAGACCTTGTCTTAAGAAGACAGAAAAAAATCAGATGGAAAAGGTCAGGATGTATATACCAACATGTTAGCAATAACTACATCACAGAGGCAGGAGCAGAGGTACTTGGGGTTACTTCATCATGGTTTCTATCATTTCTAAATATTCTCCCCCTGGATGCATATTCTTCTGGCTACCCAGAGAACAGTAACTTGCTCTTCCTGACTTGTCTGGAGTTTCAGCAGAAGGAAACAGCCTGGAGTGGGTGCTGGAAAGGATGAAAGGGGACCATGGACCACCACAAGGGTTTTTGTATTGCTCTGACTCTATGTCTCTCCTTATTCTGATTTATCTTTCCTTCTTCATCTGTTGTCAGAACGTTTGCTGTCTCTAGCACCATTTCATTGGCTCGTCCTGTGAGTGACAGGTCAGAGTGTCCCAAGAATCCTTAATGTATTTTGTGTCAGGGGCCTGTGGGTCAGTAAGGTTATTAATAAACAGCGCCTCTTGTTCTAATTTTGGTCCCTCCTCTCCACCATGCCTCCCCTGCTGCCCTGCTTTTCCTTTCGTTTCTCTTGTCTGATCCTTTTCCCCTCCTCCCTGACACAAAGCTTTCGGCCTTCATTCGAGCTCAACCTTTGGCATTTTTCCCATAATGCTTTTTGGATGAGGCTGGTCCTGTTACGTTTTTTCACGGAGAATTTAATTTTTAAGAAAATGCTTGGTGTCCTAAATCAATTTGATGCAGCTCATGCACTCCTGTGATATCACATGCAGGGGAGAAGGAAGGGACACCAAAAACTGGGGGCAAAATGTGAACAAAAAAGGGAGGGGGTACCTTGTTTTTCTCAAGGATTTCTCTTAGGCTGGATGTACACAAAATCGGGCAGAACTTGAGAGTCTAAGTAAACATGGAGAGACGTGAGGTGAGAGGTAGAATACAGATTTCTGCCTTAATATTGTTCTACACGGTTGATAACATGTAAATAACAAACCTAGTGTCACGTGTGTAGGCTGTGACCTTGGCATTTGTTAGCATTACATGGGGAGTCTTAGATTTGGATATACGGACATCAACTTTATCTCCCATTTAGAGATTGATTGATATCCTGAATTTATGGTCATAGTAAGCCTGCTTTTTCTTTAAAAAAAAAATTTAGGCACATCTTATTTATTTATTTTGTGAGTGTGGGATGTGAGGAGCACTCTTTCCAAACACATGCAGGGGAAGGTCAGAGGGCAATGGGCAGGAGGAGTCTCTCCTTCCACCATGTGGGTCCTGGGGACAGAACCCCTGTCATTAGGTGTGGTGGCTTAACTTGCTGAACCATCATACTGGTCCATGTTGTTCTATTTCTGCTGACGTTATTATACAAATAGAAATTGCCACATTACAATCATCAATCTTTCTCTCTCTCTCTCTCTCTCTCTCTCTCTCTCTCTCTCTCTCTCTCTCTCCACACACACACACACACACACACACACACACACACACACACACACATACACACTCACACACACTGAAAGTGCCTTCTGCAAACATGCTAATTTGAGCTGTTGCTTTCTTCTTTAAAAGAAATACATGGCGCTGGGCAGTGGTGGCGCACGCCTTTAATCCCAGCACTCGGGAGGCAGAGGCAGGCAGATCTCTGCGAGTTCGAGGCCAGCCTGGTCTACAGAGTGAGATCCAGGATAGGCTCTAAAGCTACACAGAGAAACCCTGTCTCAAAAAAAAAGAAAAAAGAAAAAGAAAAAAAAGAAAGAGATACATGGCTGCATCTATGCAGAGAGCTCGCAGGGAATTACATGTACCAGTTTCCCTTAACAACAATAAAGCAATGCTTTCATACAGGAAACTATGCAAAAAATCCCAAGATTCTATGTTGAATTATTCATTTTTTTTTTTCAAATTAACCCATTGTACTTTTTTCAGAGTCAAGAACACATCATTTTTTAAAAATATGACTCAGTTTCAGCTGCTTCCGGACCCAGCCTGGGGTCCACAGGTGGTGGGACAAGAATAGAGGGTGGTGAGTCTCCAGCTACAGTTCTTAATGCTCCGGGGATAAAATTTCTTCTGAAAACTGGCAGCCTTTTTGTTCTTCTTCAGCCTTTCTAACACACAGCCAGGTCCCTCTGTTTAGCTGGGCCTGCTGTGGTCACGACCGAACCGGACGAAATTTATGCCGCTGAAAACTCCCATTGATGTCCCTCCCCAGCACAGTCAGTGGGAGCTGTGGGTATGGAAGCGCAGAAGATCTTGGCCTGCCCACTGTAATCGCATCTCTGCCCTTGGAGATTATGGGTATGATACGGGTGAGTGTAATGGATAGGGCCGTCTGTGTACAAATTCCAAGTGACTTGCTACACCCCTTTCAGATGGTTGCTGTCAAAAGTATTAGCACGTTACACACACAACAACTGCGTATCATGTTACCTGTGGCCTCTGCTTCCACAGAAAAGCTCCTCCCATACCGGGCAGCAGGTGAGTTCGTCGGAGGGTACCTATTGAACACGTACAAAACAAAGGAGTTTCACTCTTTGAGCTCCACTGTAGTAACATAGAAATACCCAACCTGTCTAAATTCGCAAGGAAGGGAATTCAAAGAGAGCTGCCTGTGAAAAGATGTCTCTAAAAGACTGACACTCCTAGCATGATGAGAAGTTGATTTAACACACAGCTGTGAAAGGGATGAGAGAATTGTGCTGCCGTGGACTTACTCAGGAACTCCCAGGTCGCAGCTTCAGTTGGTGTTTACAGAAGGGAAGGACGGCGCAGAGACGCCCACGCGGAAGATGACACTTTCGACAGTTTTCTTCCAAGCACGTATTTTTAAGTGCGTCTTCCTATGGCCTAGAAATGTACAAAATTTAAGCAAAATAAAGATCTACAAAAGACTTTTTCTTGTTCAGAAATTCTAGCATTCTTGTTCAGGTCCTTTTCATGTTAAAAATACCTCACATTTTTTTTGCGCAGCCTACTAAAGGCACAGCCTGAGCAGAATACATTCTCTGAATTCAGACTGGACTTGCATGCAGGACTTCTCTGGTTTCCTCAGCCGAGTAGAGACACAATAGTTTGGCCTTGGTAAAGATACTTGGTTTGGGGCTGGGAATGTAGCTCAATGGCAAAATACTTGTCTAGCATGTACAAGACCCTACTGGTGTTCTCCCATAGCAAAAAAAAAAAAAAAAAAAAAAAAAATCACCATGGAGGGGCCCAATATTCAACATACATGCTTCTCTTTCCATGGCCAAGATTACCTCTTTTTTTGTTTTGTTTTGTTTTCGTTTTTTTTTTTTTTTTTTTAAAAAAAAAACAGGGTTTCTCTGTGTAACAGAGTCCTGTCCTGGAACTTCCTTTGTAGACTAGGCTAGCCTCAAACTCACAGAGATCCTCCTGCCTCTGCCTCCCGAGTGCTAGGATTAAAGGCATGCACCACCATGGCCGGCTCAAGATCACCTCTTTATTATTAGGGTTTTTTTTCTTTTTTTCTTTTATGTGTGAGTGTATCCATGCGCATGAGCCACAGTACATGTGTGGTGCTCCAAAAACAACCCATGGAAGTCTGTTTCCTCCTTCCACCATGTTGGTCCCAGGGAGCAAACTGAGATCATCAGGCCTGGGAGTATACACCATTAACTGCTGAGTCTTCTCTCTAGCCCAAAATTGATTGATTGATTGATTGATTGATTGAATAACATATTGAATATCTGTTAGCATTAGAAACTACAAAGCTGATTAGATTACCTGCTGTAGATGTAATTCTAAACGGTCTTATTAAATAAGAAAAATGGAGCCAAATAAAGAGTTAAAAGCCCAGAGATCAAGCAGTAGCCAAGAGCTAAGACCACCTTATCTTACCACTCGCTGCTGTCCTTCCCCTGAGCAAGAGACCTTCTTCCTGTGTCCTGTCTTTTTATTGCCTTTCTGTTCTGTCTTCTCATTGGTTCTAAACCCAAACCTCCAGGTCTCAATAAAGTATCACCATAACCTGCTGCTACCACTATGGAAATTATTCATTCAAAAACTCAGAATATTGACAACAAATACATTTCTTTATCTTTCAGAAGATAGTTATAAACAAGACATTGCCCTCATTCTTAGGATTCAGTCTCAATTTATCTTATCTTTATAGTAAATAATGCACATCATGTCCCAGGCACTAACGTAAGTGCTTTGTATATGTTAATTTATTTAATTATTAAAATAAGTGCATAAAGTAGTTCTACCAGTATCTCCATTTTACAAATGGAGAAACTGAGTCACACATAAATTAAGATGCCAGCAGGCATGGCGTATTGGCAGGCCCAGGATTTAAATCCAAGCAAATCTCACTTTGGAGACTATTCTGTTAACCACTCCTTAAGAGCTGACAGAGTCAACATGCACTCATTTTTACCATAAAAACCCTGCAAACTCCAGAAACCCTGATATGCCCAAAATTTAGTTTAGGAATTGAGCAAAACTATGGGGGCAGGGGGATTAGTGTTAGTCGGTCTGTAAAGCAACAAAAGATGAGAGTGATAGATTCTAGAAGCTCCCAAAAATCCAAAGCAAACTGAAATTTAATGGGGATAAACATGAAACACTCTTAAAAGCATTAAATCCCCTGTACATGCCCAAGATGATTGGCATCTGACTCCAGGATGTAGGGGTTCTTTCCCATGAGGGGCTCTGTTTAAAGCCAGTAACAGGACAGACGCTGTCTGTGACGGTCACAGAAGTTCTGAGTATTTTGTTTGTTTCAAGAGACCTCTTAAGATACTCTGGCAACCCAAGCCAATTCCAGAAAGCCATAGGCCTGGTCCTGTGGGGAGCTAGGAAACGGAGCCAGTAAAACAAAAACCGTGGGTTCAGAAGTGTGCCTGTTATTTTTAAGTATTGACAATTTTCTCCTAGGGAAAAACAGCTCTGATGCCTCTGAGGACAGACTCCAGCCCAGTGTGATTTCTGCTCCCATACACAACCAAAGCCATCAAAGAACAAACGTTTCTAACACTGGTGGCTGTAGGAGTGACCCTTCCCCTCTGTCTCTCTAGTGGCTGCGGTCCAGGCCTTCACACATGTATGTTACCTGCTTGGAATCTGCAATTCACCAAATCTACCTTCATTTCCTTGAATGGCTGTCTGTCTCCAGAACTCTGGCTTCAGCAGGAACCTGAAACAATGTCTCCCAAGCCTCAGCCCACAGGTAGGTGTCCACACCTTCTTGATTCTGTTATAGAACCTTAAATTCAAACAAAAACATTATTTAAAGACTGTCTGTTTCACAGGTAAAGGAATATCAGCATGCCAAGTAACCGTGTAGAACTGTAGATGTTATCTCTAGTGTCACACAGAATTCCTGCTCACATCAGAGTAGGCACTTCGACAGGATCCACCTTAGCATCACCACACAGCAACTTGGTCCTAACCTTATTCTAGGAAATTGGTCTGGTCCCCAGTGGCCACCCTATCATTTAGCTGAGAGCTTACTATCATTTCTAAGTTAATTTGGAAGCTAATTGTGAATGTCAGGGGTTCTGACATTGTAGAGAATGGTAAAATGTTGAGATAAGCCAGGATCAGAAAAACCCACCGTGGAAGAAGTTGGGGTTTTGTAACCAGATGGATGTTAAAGTATGAAGGGCTGGAGCAGTATCGTTTCCTTCAGTGTCACTGAAGGACGGGATCAAAATGTCTCTAAGAGTCCACATCCCAGGTTCAATCTAAGTTCTTCATCTCAGTGTTTGTTTTTATGAATTATGCACATGCATGTGTCTGTGTGAGGCTGTGTGCACATGTGTGCAAGTGCCTGCGGAGATCAAAGGCGTTGGAGACCACTCCTGGAGCTGGAGTTACAGGGAGTTGTGAGCTACCCCTCCACATGGGTGCTGGGAACTAAACGTGGGCTACCTAACAGAGAAAAGAAGCTCTCTTCATTGCTAAACTATCTCTCCAGTTCCTCATCTGAGTCCTTCCAAAGGATTTTAGAGGACTGGGGAGGTGGTTCAGCAGGTAAAATTTCTAGCAAGCTTAACAAATTTCAATTACTGTGTAAAAAGCTGTGTGCACCCACCTGTACTCCAAGCACTCTTAGAGGGAGATGGGCAACAGAGGAAGGACATTCACTCAGACATCAGGCCAGTAGTATACAAATGCAGTACAGAAACAAGAGAGACCCTGATTCAATGAGGTAGAAAGTGAGAACCTACCCCAAGAGAGAACCTACCCCAAGTTTTTCTCTAACTTCCCCATGCGCCCTATGGTTCTTTCTCTCCCTCTCTCCTCTCTCCTCCCTCCCCCTCTCTCTCTCACACACACATAATATTCCAGACAGAGTCACACTATGTTGCAATGGCTAGCCTGGAACTTGGTGGGTAGACAAGACAGGCTGTGAACTCACAGAGATCCGCCTGTCTCTGCCTCTTGAATGCTGGGATTGAAGGTGTGCACCACCATGCCTGGAACACAAAATAAAATTTTAAAATATCAGAAAAGCTACTGCTTTTAAAAAAAAAGGGGGGGGGTTCTTAAGAAAAATGGAGTGAGAACTTTATAAGGAAGAACCCAGCTCCTACCTGTGGTTATTTCCAATTTATCAGTCTACCAGTGGTATTTGGGGTGATCTGGCTTAAAATCATGCACACAGACATTCTCATCACAGGAGAAACTGGGCCTGTCTCCTCAACCCCACTACAGCTGGCAGCAAGCTCTTCTGGGAGGGATATTTTTCATTCTTCATGCTTCTTCACTTCTGTGAACATTTCAACAAGCAAGGTCAAGCCACTAGCCTCAGGATTACATTAAGGAAAGCTAAGTACCTTCAAACAATTTTGAAATTACCAAAGTTCTGAAAAATGAGTACATTTTGTCCTCTGAAGAGGGAGGAACCTGCATCTTAATCTCATGTAGTTTAAACCTTTGTCAACTTCAGAATTGAGACCCAATGTTCTAGACGATTCTATTTTGGTCAAGATGTCTGTATTTGCTAAGCACAGTAGTGCTCACCTTCAGTCTAAGCACTTGGGAGGCAGAGTCAGACAGATCTCTGTGAGTTCAAAGTCTACCTGGTCTACATCGCAAGATCCAGGCCAGCCAGGGCCCCATAATGAGACCTTGTCTCTGATAATAACAGTAATAATGATGATAATAATTAAAATCTCTGTGTTTGCCACCATCTTATTCTAAGCACACTCTCAATGGCACTGGTAATCACCTCACTATCTACCCTTGGCCACTGGCTAACCTGTAAGGTATTCAAAAACAAAGTTAAATCAAAGTGTTGTAGCAATTAAGCAAAAGATGTCAGGGTACCATTACTCCTAATTTCTTTTGCAAAAAATCATTTTTGAGGAGCATCAAGCTGAAAAGCCACACCCTGACACAACACTCGCAGTCAGACTTTGACTAAGTGATGAAAACCCATGTCTTCACTACAGGGGACCTCCGTGTCAACTCCTTTCGCTGGAAGACAATGTTCTGTGTCCGACTTGCTGGACATCTCAGGCAAGTGACATCAGGGCCTCTACCTGCTTTTCTCTGGTTCAGACACACAGGTCAAGAGGGAAGTCAACGTTAGGCTGAAATTCCTGCCCTTTACACTCTCCAGCTTGTGGACCAGCGCCAAAGGGCCCTGGGCTACAAAGTGTAAACAGATCTCTGCGGCCTCCTAATCCAGGTAATTGGTCCCAAATGCTGTTACCCCTTTCCAGATAGAGGCTTTGCTTGCTTTTTAAGGAATCTTGAACTTTTCTCAATTGGCAGAGAACAGTTTTGGAGTGTTAATTCAGTCTTTTCATCAACACTAAGGTCCCTAGAAACAGTCAGGTAGAGACACAGGAGGTGTGCGAACCTCTTTGTATAGTTCCACTTTATTTTCTTATGTTCATCCCCTCTCATTTCATCTCCCATCCCAGTGGGTGGAAGTGTGCTTAATCGACGTGAACAGTTTCGGCCGAGCTGTGCAGACCAAACACCACCTGCAAGACAGCAGGCAGATTTCCTATCGAGACCAAACTTCAGCCTAGCACAGCATTTTGCTAACAGCGTGCACGGTCATGACGTTAACCTAAACCAGTTGTTCTGTGGCATCATTTTCAGGTTGAAGTTGTGCCTCTCACGTTGTGTGAGGAAAACAGTGCGGTGTTCAGGAGAAAGACTGGGAAGGATTCTTCGGTGATTTAGGCTCTTTCTTGGAGGACAGGCCATGTAAACTCTCTGAGCCCTCTCCAAAGCAGAGATAATTGCATACACCTTGCAAATTCAATGTAACATTAAAAGAGATAAATGGTATGGGCCATAAGAGATATAAGAACACTTCATGTATTACTGTACAGTACAAAGCATTTCCTAGAGCAGATTTGGTAGACCAGCTTTGTGCTGCAATCTATGCAACACAAGGCATGAAAATTCTTTACACTGGGAAATCTTTAGCTTAGAATTCAATAGGAAAAAGCAAAAAAAAAAAAAGTGCAGCTTTCTTTGTGAGTCTTTCAAGGCAGTGCCAAAATCTCAGAGTGCCTTCAAATTCCCTTCCTTCCTTCCTTCCTTCCTTCCTTCCTTCCTTCCTTCCTTCCTTCCTTCCTTCCCTCCCTCCCTCCCTCCCCCCCCCTCCCTCCCCCCCCCTCCCTCCTCCCTCCCTCCCTCCCTCCCTCTCTCTCTCTCTCTCTCTCTCTCTCTCTCTCTCTCTCTCTCTCTCTCTCTCTCTCTCTCTCTCTCTCTTTCTCTTTTCCCCTCAGGCCTGCCTTCTTGCTTCTTCAAAATTTCCCTAGTCACATTTTTCTGCTGACTGTCTCCAGAGTGTGTAGCCAGAGTCTCTGTTAACCATTGCTCAGACAGCAACTTCTCATTCTCTTTTTTTGATCTTTGCTTCCAAGACAATATCTTGGCAAGACTTGTTCTTTAAATTCCATTCTGTCTCTCAATCCCTCCCCCCCCCCCCCCCCCCCCGCTCTCTCTCTCTCTCTCTGTGTGTGTGTGTGTACGTGTGTCATCATATATCTAGTCCAACTTGCCAGGTGGAAGATTAGAGAAGATTAGGGACTGTGGAGCCCCTTCCTTCTGACCTGAGGGACCAGAAGATGAGAGAGAAGACACACATACCTTTCTTCTGTTTTGTTTGTTTGTTTGTTTTGTTTTGTTTTCCCCAGAAAATGCTTCCTATTTTCTGTAGTTATCCAGAAATGGAAAGTTCTGTCCCATGCATAGTCTATAGCACTTCATTTCGCCAAAGACATAACTACATTTTCTCTTGACAAGCAGTCTAGCACTAGACATGTTGGACACAAGCACTGGGAGACAAAATGGAACATGCTGGATCGGGTCATCTCTATAAGGAGTGTAACCTTGAGCAACTTGCATAGCATCCCCAAAGCTTCAGCATCCTCCCATGAAGAGTGGAAATAGTAATGTTTTCCTGGCATCTGGGGTGAAAAGACAAGTTACCTTAATGAACAGTTCAGCACAGGGCCTTGGCTGATTAAGTGTCCTTGAGATGTTAGCTGATAATTTCTCATCCATGTTCTCTTTGCTGAAAACTCTTCTGTGAACTAGAAGTTTTCCTCTACCGCAGAATGATCACCTAGTATGTTCAAAGTCCTGGGTTCAAGCCCTAGTATCTCAGAAACAAAAAATGACATGTGTGTTTACCAACTCAAAGACAAGGACTTTCTCTCCTGTTGTTCCTCTTCAGCTTTTTCCACACACATCACTGGAAGTTCTGTTCATCTACCATTCTTCTCTTCATCTCCAGATGAATTTCAAGAAATGAAAAATAAGGCAAATACATTCCAAAAACATCTTCCAGTTCCATCTGGCCTAAGCTAAGTTCTATTCATCATCAGCTCTTTAACCTCAAAGTTTCATCATGAAACCAAACAGGAACTGCAGCTTACCTCAATTTCAGTGAGTCCAGGTATGGCTATTTCCAAACTTGTTTGAATTTTAATGGCACTCTTTTCCACTTTCAAATGCTGAAAGGCTAAAGATTTGTGGTTTCACATGAGCACCAACTGAGATGTGATAAGTTAGTCTGAATCTTACTTTGAGTTTATTATGTGAATGAACTCATGTTTCATGAAGCAAATCCTTATGTTTAGAGCACGCCTGCTGTTTCTACCTCTGTTGATTAAAAAATACAATAACTTAAGTAAAATGTGAGAGATGCTTTATGAAAACAAACTACAGTGTACAGAATGCTTGCATTCCTTTGTCTCAATAGTAAATCTAATATCAATTTTACTATTTGGAAAATATGTTTTATAGCATGTGTTTCAGTGGGTAACTACTGCTGCCGAATACCTCTCTTTATTTACAGTTGCATTTATTTGTCATGGCACTTCAAGTTGACTAGATGACAATTTGCATTTTACCTATTTCTCTCAACCTCTAAAATTCTGTGGCATGTCACTGCTTATCCAGGTTCTGTTAAACTGTGACTTTAAAATCAAATCTGTATAAGTTAATCTTTCTTCGTCTTTCACATCTTATTCCCTTAGAGAGCAGAAGCCCAGACTTTAAGCTAGCTAATTTCCTCCAATTATATGCTAGAGGTTTGGGAAGATTTAAAGGTAAATCTTTTATATCCAAATGATAGGTTCACCGTCCCCAATTGGTGAGCTCCTGCACATAGATGATACTGACCATTAGATTAAAAAGGACTTCTGCCTTGAAATGATGAGCAAAAGTGAGCTTGGAAAAAAAATCTACCTCTTTAGTCTATAGACAGAGAAGAAGCACACTTTCAATTTTTGTTGTATCGTAAGACAAAATAATCTTAAATAACATATGTGAAGCTTAGTACATCAAAGAGCTCTGAAAAGATTATTCCCCTAAGACTGCGAGTTTGATTCAGAAAGTTAAATGGAAGCTTTGCTGTTATATTACACTGAATAGCTATTTCTTTATTTCAGCAGACAAAGTTATTCTGGGATAATTCTTTTCTTAAGAAATGTACACTATATAAAGATCCTGGCCACCAAAATACTGCTGGTGCCTTTTCAGAAACTGACTATATTTCATACTATTTAAAAATTAAAAACTGAAAACACCAAGTCCCGGGTTCCTTCTTCTTCTGATCTATAGTCGCAAACTAATGTTCATAAAAATAAACTTTACAATGTCTTTGAGGATCCCAAAGAACTCGAGTCAAGATTTTTTTTGGCTCAAAAAGAAAGCAGTTTTGATATTCAAAAATTTGACCTCTCTTAGTCAATCCCCAGAAGGGGAAAAACATCAGCTAATCTTAGTAAGATGGTAAATTGAAAGGATTTGGTTTTCTAACTAGATCCTTGGTCAAGTTTTAAAATATGATCAAAACAGTAAAGACTGGGAAAAGACATAGAAAGTCTCAAAAATAACTCAAAATAGAAAAGTTGAGTCTCTCTTTAAGGAACTTTTCTGTGTCCAAATTAGAGGCGGACAAGGATTTTGGTGGAAAATGGCTACAGTGTTTCTTCCATCCTTTTCTCCCCACTGGCGATCAAAAGCATGCACTTAGCATGCTGACCAGGGGACCAGATCATTGAACGGCATTGTATGTCAGGTTTTTACTGGTCAAGCACTCAAGGTGTGATTCTGGAGAACAAATCCCCCTGAAAGCAGACATAGCTAACAGACACAGGCAAAAGACCCATGCAACATCCAAGCCACATGCACTACGCCACATGCACTACCACGCATGCACAAAACCGACTGGGCTCTGCTCTAGGTCCGCGATAACTCAGGCATATTGTGAGCTCTGGAAAGAATTTTAATCTACATGGTTTGAAAATCGAGGCCTTTTAAATATGCTGCATACAATGTGTGATGGTCATCGCTAAGACGCTGCTCCATTATCCTTTTCCATTTGGAATGAATGAGGCTAATTAATTTCAGGCCATACTTGATGAGGTCAGCACCATACGAGGGGTGCGTGCTAGACATTGCTAATCTCTTTCAGCTGAGAGTGATGAATTAAAGATGAAGCATGCCTTTGCAGGCCTAATTTAGAATGTATATCAAAAAACCTACAGCAAATAATACTATCCCCTACAACAAAGGAAAACTTGTTCTCTCAGGCTCCCGGACTTGTGTTGATTTTAAAGACATTACGGTCCTCTTTGGACTTCCAGCTGTGGATGGGTGAAGCATCTCTAGAAAATCAAGCCATCTCTCACACACAGCCATGGGGACAAAAGGTGGGATTAAAGGGAAGAAAGAAAGAAAATAAAAACAAAATACAACAATCAGGTTTTGATCCCCTGTGTATTAAGATTCCACCTATATATTAGACACAATCCCCCCTCCCCTTTTTTCCAGAACTACCAGACTAACAAAGATTTCAAATTAGGATACCTGTATTCAAGTCCTGGCCACCCAGCTCTCAGAGCTGGGATGTTTCAAAGCAGTGGGCTAAATGAGACAGCCTTTGTGTGTGTGTGTGTGTGTGTGTGTGTGTGTGTGTGTGTGTGTGTGTGTGTGTGTGTGTTGTTTTGTTTTGATTTTTTAAATCAGATCTCCTAATGAGGCTTATTAGGTTTTTCCATGTCTCAATTTTGAAAGCCAATAGAGATTGACCAGGTAGATAATATGATACCTTTTATTAAGCCAAGAAAGAAATTGTAATACAGATGCCTCCAGGCCAAAATGTTCTTATGAAAGTTAATGCTAAGCCAACTTCTGGAGTTGTGAAAAGGAAGGTAGTCCCTTCTGATTGCTCAAGAGAAGAAAGAATTAGTCATGATTTTTCAAAGGTGACGATTACAAGTCCCTAGGGGGAGTAAGGAAGGAGTTTCAGCCCAGAGACTGGCAAGAAAAAAAAAGTGTCTGGGCATATCTCGAATGTGAATTGCTGACAGGTAACTCGAATGCTTGGGGTTTCTAACTGGGGGCCAGGCCAGCTCCTGACTTTCGATCCCAGTAGCTCTCATTAGAACAAGCCGCTTCAAATTACGTCTAATCTACACGATGAATCAATCTTTCATCCCTTTAATTGCTTCTGAAAATATTTATATTTCTTAATAATGCACATTTTGTCTTGTAACTTCTGATTAAACCCAGACGGGCGTTCCCAAAGCAGGCAATGGCCAAGCAAAGACAATTTGGGACAGGGAAGGGAAGATTTAAAAGACAGGCTTTTCTTTCTGGGAAACTATCAAAGGAGAGCTGAAATAAATAGCGGTTGGGCAGAGTATTTTTGCAATCTAATAGAAATTAAAGATTTATTTTTGGACACAGGGTCTCACGTACCCCAGGCTGGCTTGGAGTTTGCTATACAGCTGAGGATGACCTTGAACTGCTGATCTGTCTGCCTCTACCTCCAGAGGCCTGAGATTGCAGGTGTGTAGTAACATGCCTTGCTGACAAAACATTCTTACTGTGGGATTCTTTATCAAAGTCCCAGCTATCTAGCTGGGTAGCTTTGTAAATTTCACAAGAAATGATTGTGATAGAGACTTAGAAAAAAATTCCACATTGCAATCGGTATCAACTCACACAAAGTGTCACATCAAAAAAACAAAACAACAGCCGGGCAGCGGTGGCGCACGCTTTTAGTCCCAGCACTCCAGAGGCAGAGGCAGGCGGATCTCTGTGAGTTGGAGGCCAGCCTGGTCTACAGAGTGAGTTTCAGGACAGCCGGGACTGTTTCACAGTGAAACCCTGTCTCAAACCTCGCCCCTCCAAAAACCAAAACCAAAACCAAAAAACAGCAATTGTAACGCAGAAATAAGCAGAGGACCAAAATTACTGGTTGAACAAGAAGCATGGTGGGAGATGGCATTGTCAAAGTGGTTTTGATTCATGGTTTGGGGACCAAGAGAAAAGGGATCCCACCTCACTGTTGTTGCCAGTTAGCTGAGTAAGTCCCCCATGCCTCTACAGACTTGAGTCTTCTTAATCCTAATCTGGAAAAAAAGCGGGGGTTGGGGGTGCAAAGTTTTCCTCACAATTTTAAATTATACGATGTTCTAAACAACCTTCCCTACTTCGAGTCCAGTCAGCCTACTCTAGCAGAGAGTTCAAACAACTGACATTCAAATTGTCATTTTAACATATTAAACCTGGTGCATTCAGGAGGCCCAGGGTGGAGGATCAAGAATTTGAGATCAGTCTGAACATGAAAAAATCAAGACAGACAGAGAGGAAGAGGAGAATGAGAGGGGAGGGAGGGATGGAGGGAGGGAAGGAAGGAGAAAAGGGAGGAATGGAGGAAGGAAGGAAGGAAAGAAGGGAGGGAGGCAGGAAGGACATTGTTTCTTTACCAAATGGCTACAGGCTCTTTTTGTTTATTTTCTAAACTATATGTAATATATATATATATATATATATATATATATATTATTATATATATTACATATATATTATTATTATATATATTACATATAGTTTATATATATATATATATATATATATAGTGTAACTATCTACAGAGCATATGTTCTAAACAACCTTCCTACATGAATCTTGGTTCAGCCCCATGAGGTACTGAGAGATGACTAGTCCATGCTCTCTAGAGGCAAAGAAAATAAAATAATTTCTTGTAGTGCTGAGCCATCTTATTGACAGTTTCTAGAAGGGGGAAGTTAACACTCTTGCCTAGCCGTGAATGTGTCTTGTAGCCATTGTTTCTTG